TATTTCTTATTGTTTGACCCTGTCACATGCAGAGACCTGATCAGTACCTACACCCTGTTCCCCAGGAGCCTTCTGTTAAATATCTGGGATGACACCGTTCCTGCCTAGAAATGCAAACAACCTAAGTCAAACATAACAAGGGGGAGTAAAAAATTACCAGAGCAGACAGAGGCCCTGTCATTAGTATTCAAAACAGGGATTTGCCTCCTGTACCCCTGCATGACAAAGATTGCACAGCAGCAGCCAAAAGAGTGAGCTGACATTACATTATTTTTATAATAGCATGGCCTATTTCTTAAAAACTACTCTTACCAGGGTACAGTGTTAATAAAAACACTCAGTTCCTCATAAGACATGTTAATATGGAATCATGTTAATATGAGGGAACTTGCCCACGTCATGCAACTATTTTCTCTGTTATATCAGAGTTTCAGAAGGTATCGTGATCTTAAAACTATGCCTTTACTCTTTTCTGAATCACTAAGTTAGAGGAGGCTTTGGGATCAGCAGCAACATTATTTTTCTGAAAACCAGTCCACTAAAAACAGACCAGATGCAGTCAGAAAGCTCCAAGGATCATTGGGAGTAGCATTGTGGCTTGATGGACTCAGCACCCAATAATCACCCAGAGGAAGATGGCAGAGTTTCAACAGGCGCTACTGCAGCCCTGAGGCAGTACTAGCAGCCTAGGGCTGCTCCCAATGCACATATGCAACTTGCCAATTAAAAGCTGTTTTCACTCTTAATCCCCTCAGAAGTCTTCTTCTCAGGAAGAAAAAATATCATTTCTAATTAAGTGTGAACAGATTTAAAATTAATAATACACTAAAATAAAATTTGAATTAGAGCATTTAATAGTAGTGTTTTCTTTCATATTGTATGGGAAACTTTCAAGACCTGCTTGTGCACCAGACATTATTATTAGACATGACTTAACCTTGATCTTTTAACGCAACAAAAGGTCTTGGTATGGAAGCAGACTCCTTGACATAATGCAATGAAAGGGGTTTAGTTTCTCATAATGTTCCAACAAACCAGTAAACCCTGCAAATGGATTATAATTTAGGATGTTTTCTCTTGATCTAGAACACAATTTTTTAGTAAATAGCTGTTTTCCAAACCACACAAAAAATCTTTAAAATTAATACATGATGGAGTTTTAATATCTTTCTTTTTATGCTGTCTATGATTATGTTTGCTTTTCATATTTCAACATTTCAACATTTTATTTCAAAACACAGTATTTTTAAAAGTTTCCCTGAACATGCATTTCTACCTATTTTAAGAAAAAAAAATCAACTTAAAAAGGAAAAACCTTTAAAACAGCCTAAATTGCCAAACAGATAATGTCTGAATAAAAGAAAACTCTAATAGCTACATTTGTTATTACAGAGGTTCTTTTGCTGGGATTGAAAAAGTAAAACACTAGTACAAGCACTGGCACCAAGTCAGTATCCTCTGAAGATAGCTTGACTCAGAAACAAGCTGAAATCACTGTGATGAAATTGCAGTGAGGAAATAAGGCCAAAACCCCTTTATCTCGCTCTCTACTGATAACAATAGAAGTTGTTATTTATCTGGGGGTTTAGCGCAAATAACTATTTTTTAAAAATATTTCCCTTCAACATTGTTAATTACTGTAACTACTCCTCTAACCATTATTCAGTTTACAAGAATTGTTCCTGCCACCAAAATAAACTGTCACTTAATTGGGCAATGAAAAAAATCACAGCACCGTATGTCTTTTAGCAGCTGGACAGCAAAGAAGTGATAGGGTTGCAATTGTGTGTGCCTATCGCTTTATCAATCTCACACACAGCAACGAATGTCCTCATAAAGAGGAAAGGACGCACAAGTGTATTAGGAAAAACCTGTTAAGCAAATCACTGCTCTGTCACTTGTCCTGTAGATTCATGGCATTTGGAGATGTATCGGAGCCATTTGGCTGAGGAATGGTTACTCCATTACTCCAGACAGATCAGCTGTGCAAATCCTATCTGTAGCTATCTTACCTGGAGACTGTGTGATCTGTGCTTTCTAACAAAGTCATATTGAATCCTCCTGGCTTTATATTCACTGTTTTTATTTTGAATGAACTTAGAATTGTGTGGAAATGTAGAGAGACATGATCTCATTACCCTCAGGCTGTCTTTCAGATTCACCAGGGTTTCAGCTGAACAGTGGAGGTGTTTCTTCCAAACCAACACAGAAGGATGTAAATACACCTTACAGTGAGCACGCTTCTGAGAAAAACAGCCTCCTCCGAGCCGCTCCGTTGCTTGCTGCTGTGAGCAGGGTGTGGGGCAGGACCCTGTGGCAGGATGCTGCCTCTGTCGGAGCAGCAGCTCAACCCAGCCAGCCTAGCCAGCTTCTCAGATTGTGCGCCACTTCCAAATCAGTTTCCTAAGCCACAGACAAATCTTGAAACAACACAAAGACCATCTGCACTGTGTCAGTGTTTTTGTGTGAAGTGAGGTGAGGAAGGGAGGTCAATGCTGCCTGCTCCCAGACCGATCTTCCTCTTCCTATGGTAGGAAGCTCCAGGAGAACCTGAAGGCACACCAGCCCAGCCTGGTGCCTCTTCAGAGTCCCATGCACCAAGTCCAGGCCTTAGAGGTTCAGCATTTTCACAAAAAGCCTGCAAGCTCACAAACAATATTCATTGTCAGTTCCACTGAGATGGATATAGCCTGGCCAGAGAGTGGACCCAGTCACAATATAATGATATGCCAAGGATACCTCTGGGCAACCTCATCTAGTGGAAGATGTCCCTGCTTGCTGCAGGGGGGTTGGACTAGATGACCTCCACAGTTCCTTCCAACTCAGACTATTCTATGATTCTATGATATCTGAGCTGCCACTGCCCTTGCCAGAGCCCTCTAATCTAACCAAGGGATGGCTCCTTTGAGAGCTTCATGATTTGGTACGTTTTGCTAGCACTGTATTTTTATCCCTGTGGAAGGAACAATGCAAAAATAAATGTCAATGAGGGGAAAAAATAGGATAGATAAAGGTAAGGACAATTTTTCTCTTCAATTATTTGAATAACACGGAGATTTAACATTCTGGCCTCAGTTACTGCCTACAAATTCCTGTTTGGGAAAAAAAAAAAAAAGGCCAATACCAAATTTTTGGAAATATTTTTCATTTCAATCCCCTTATCTCCAAATTATTGTCTGTTTCACACAGAAAATCTATTTCTGGCCTTCCCAGCCTTTGTACAATCTGCTGCTTCCCTTTTACCATGGTTGTTTTACTCCTTTCTAGACAAAATTCTTAGGAGCAACCAACGACTGAATTATGGAGGAACTAGTCAAATCTGCACTTACCCTTCCTGCTCCCAAACTACCATGATGGCTCATCTGTCTGACTGTGTTAGCTGTTGTTTCAGAAATATAATATTAAAGCTACAGGTATTTGGCATTTATTTTTAGCAAAATTTTATAATTTAGACACAAATACAATAGTGGTAATTTTTCAAAGGCAATAACTTGGCACTAAGAAATTGTATGTATTGATTGTCTGACACTAAACATTTTGAATCTTAGACTATTAGCACAAGAGAACCATAAAACCCTGACGCTTTCATTGTTCTGCAAAAACTGTTTCATCTTAGCAAGACTATTACACGTACCCAGCAGATTTCAACTCAGTTAAGACACTAAAAATGCCCAATTATCTTAAGAAAAACTGTTTTCCAAGTATATACTGAAATGATTGCCACAAAGGCTATGCCATTATGTCATGAAAAAGAATAGCATCAAATATGTACTAATGAAAAATATTTTTGTGAAACATTTTAAATCCACTACCACCTTCAAGACAAACATTCATGTATTGTTCCACAAAATTCTCTCAGTTAGAAAGTAACTCATCCCACAAATGAAGTCAGTAAAAATGTCATTGGATCCTATTAAAGCTGAAAACAAGTACCTGAAATCTTAACCCTAAACCAGTAATAAATTCAAACCCCAACACCAGAGTGTTCAATGCAAATGCTCTTAAATTTAGAAGAAGTCAAATTGATATCCATATGTATATTTTTGGCACCAGTGCTTTTTTGAGCTTGCTGTAGGAGTATTTCCAGCTTCATTTCAGTTCCTTAGTTCAGACCATGTCCTATTTCCCAGCCAGTTCTGTTATTATATTTAGTATTCTGGCCAGAGCAGCAACACAGAAATCTTCCTTTCTTTTTTCTTTCTTTTCCTTTTAATGAGAACATTTTCTTTAAGAATGAATATAATTAATAGCATTATCAAAATCTTTCCTTCCTAGTGTGTTACATATTCATTTAGTTTTCAAATGGTGTGTCTGATGCTGTAAGTGATTGCTTCTCAGCACTTCTCTTTGCCCTAGACCTAGTAATTGGAGATGACATGACATATCCCTAGCAGCATCAACAGGGTGCATCATTGCATCCATTCTACTCTTTTGACAACCCACTAAATCTGAAGCATATCATAAAATAATGGCTTCCTCTTCAAACACAATTTTGCAAAAATTATACTGCATGTCTGTGAGGAAAGGCAAACGCAAACCAGTTCCTGTCTTGCACAAGCACCTGGGCAAATACAGTGTGACAAGTGTTCAGAGGGCCAGTAATATACCAGCATGACAGGGGTAAAATGGTGTTATGATCCTGAACAGATTTACAATTAGTGTCAGGATACTGACTGGCAGCAGGCCAGCAAAGTGCACCATTTTATATGATATGGTAGCCATATACTGGCCTTGTTCTATGTGCTGTTTGGAGAGGTGCTGTTACAGGAACTAGTGCACACAGATCTTTGCTCAAACCAATAGCTAGATGACAATTTTAGTGCAAACGAACAAAAGGTTGAAGAATACATTATTAAATCTAATACAGACCTATCATGACACTGTTCTGACCTATGTTTCCCTTTATGTACTAAAATAAAAGACATAATTTCATATATCCCAGGTCTCATTAACCCTTTAGCAAGTGGAATTCAATCCAGTATCATTTGGACTTACTATACCTCACTAAACTGTTGGCAGTGTCAGGATCTTGTGCTGTTACTGTACCAACAGCAGTCCCGATCTTTGCATTTTCATAAACTTCCATGATGTAGGAAGGCATAGTGAAGAGCGGAGGTTCATCCACATCACCAACAATGATCTTCAACATTGTTACATCTTTGAATGGTCCCAGGTGCGAAAAGCGGAAATCAAGGTGAGTATTTGCTCCTTCTATATTAAGTGTATATGATTTCTTTTTTTCATAGTTGAGCGGCTGTTGGCAGAAAAAAGATTTATAAATACCATTCTGTGTTTCAGTTTAGCCTGCTAGCAAGCTAACTTCCAGTTAACTTAAACCACATTTCTTCATATTACTGGAAAGGGACAATATTCTGTGATAACTCTGGCAGCCACTGCCCTACCTTGTAAGTAGAAGGATACGTATGAAGAAGGGCAGATGAAGATTTTATCTACAGCAGAATTGTGGACAAGGTACCAGTTTTGGAAAAGCTCAAGTGTTTAGAATGAGTGTCAGATTCTTCTGTGACAATGTAAATTCTCCACATTTTATCACCTTTCAATCTTTATTGGTCAATGCCAAATACTGAAAAAGGTAGAGACTGATGTATCCCTAATTAAATTAACTTCATATCTTTAATTAACAGGTTTAATAGACAGTGTTAGGAAAACTAAAATTCCTTTGGGCATCTCTTCCCTTAAATCAACTGAAAAAAGCAACTCCTTGCAGGAAAACACTCAGTTATCATAAGACACAGGAACTTAAATGTGTAAGAATAGCCTAAACATGTGCTTGTTTCCTTTTCCAATCAAGAAGGGTGCATCCCTGTATTGCAGATCATTCTCTTTTAAATTCTTCACCAGCAATGAGAGAGACAACTCTTCAGCCTGTCTCATCACATACCGCTGTGCTGCACATGGATTAGGCAGTCATAAATGGGAAGAAAGTCTGCAGCTGGGGACGTGCCTTCTGCTAGGCCTAATGTTCCAATAAAACACAATAGAAGGCACATCCCCAGCTGTACCACCAGAAGCGCCACTGCCACTTGAATATTGCCCTATTATTAAAATCAATAGATTCCTACTAGGAATCCTACATCTCTACTAGGAAGGAGGAAGCTGTGGCTCTGACTCATATATCACACAGTATGGATACTCTCTTTCTTAGGCATCCCATTTCTAGCTTGCTATCTACACGTGTGAAAATTTCACCTCACTAGTTCAGATGGTTTTCAGATTATTGTGAACTAATTTTACTGACTTGATATACTTATTTTAACCCTACATTAGCATGCTATTACACTGTCTTATGCAAGATATAAGATAAACATGACACACTCAATGCTCAACTCTTGAAGTGTCAGCTAGTTATGTAGTAGAGGGGGCTAAAAGGGTATTTAACTTAAAAGCATGCAAGTAATGAAGTGCCATGAGAAGATACAGAATTAAGCAATGTTTTTACCGGAAGCCACGTTTAAATGACCACAACTATTTTGAGTTGGTTTCTTCAGTATCACTAACATAACTGTCTACCTTTCATAGAAAGCCCACTGAGAACTTCATGAGAGAGGCTATTTTTTCAATATCTTGTCTGTTAGTTCTAATTACTGAAATGGCTTTTAAAAATACCAGTTCAGTTAAATATCTTAAGAAATTTATTTTAACCTCATAATCAATGGCAAAAGATGTATTATTTGTTGTACTGCAAAATCCTTATTTACCCTAGTTTATAGTATAACTACCTTTTTCTTTATTTTCCAGGGAAAATTAAATTTATAAATGAAGAACTGCCAGTCTCTTCCGAACCCTTTGGCAATCTCAGCATGTGTTCACTTTCCAGGTAAGGTCCAAGCCAGTCCCTCAGTCCAGAATTATACTATACTGACTATAGGGGCTGCCTGTAATGATGACAATAAGGTCAATAGGAGAAAAACCTGACAGAGCTACCACCCAATGAGGCACTTAGGACTGAAGCTCTTTAAACACAGAAGTATCAAGGAGAATCCCTGTTTTTTTTTTTTTTGGTTTTTTTGGTTTTTTTTTTTTTACCTTTATCAGTATGCGTCTGCACTTCCATAAAGTTAGGCAAGTTTCTGGGAGACAAGGAAACCCAAGAGGACATAAAGCATGTAGAGTGGTAATTTATCTGTTTAACAAAAATATGCCAGACCTTGCAGTCACAGAATAGATTTGAAAGTTTCAGATTGCAATTTTAAAAATGTGTTTCTCTGCAAAAAGCAGTCTTTCTTGATAACACACACCTCAGCACTTACTAGGTTACAAATTTCTGGCTTCAGCCACTTTTTTTAGGTAGGTTAATATTTACTATTACATTGAGCAAAGCAAATAGTTTGTACAGATATGTATACTACCACTAAGTTTCCAACAGTTTCAAAACATAGGCATAACACTAAAAGAAGCTGCATACATGTGGATTTATTTCATAATAGAAATTATTATGATATTATGGCATGGCAGAATTCCACAATGACCAGTATCATTCTGTGTGGACCTGACAGCCTGCCTGAACAGAATTCAGTACAAGTATTCAAGCCTTCAACCAAAGCTAAACTGGTATTTCTTATCATCCCAAAGAGTGGAAACATAGTTCCTAGGGCAAGAAATATGAGGAATTCAATGTGCGATTTGTCAATGTCAGTGTGTATTTTGTAGATAAAATCTACAGTAAACTTGATTCATGACGTATAAGTAAAATAGTTGGTCAGGATTTATATATGATGTATTTTCCTTTGATTTCTCCTTTATGCACTGAAGGACAATTAATTCACTCTCTAGTAGTATAAGACTTTTCTTTTGCTTTCTTGTCTCCCTTTCCTGAATGTCTAAATAAAAATTTTAAAGGCATGGAAATATACCGTAGCCTGATGAATCTATTGCTATACAAAAAAGAGCTATGTATGCTACTCAGATTTAATCCATTCATAACAAAATGCAAGTTTAGTAAATTCTAACTCAGATGTTCATTAATTTACATTTTATTTCTCTTACAGAATGGTTTCAGTTGGAAGAGACCTTAAAGATCATCTAGTTACAACCCCCTGCCATGGGCAGGGACACCTCCCTCTAGACCAGGTTGCTCAAAGCCTCATCCAGCCTGGCCTTGAACACCTCCAGGGATGGGGCATCTACAGCTTCTCTGGCAACCTGTTCCAGTGTCTCACCACCCTCACAGTAAAGAATTTTTTACTTACACCTAATCTAAACCTACCTTCTTTCAGTTTAAAGCCATTACCCCTCGTCCTATCACTACAGTCCCTGAGGGGTCACAATTAGTAACATTTTTTTTTTATTTTCCTTGTCTCTCCTGTGGAGATATAAGGAAATCTACAAGCAAAGCATTTCCTGTGACATTCCACATCTTAGAACAACTCACAAGTTCAGCTGTTACATCACTCACCCTTTTAAATTTGAAAAAATATTTAAAAACTGAAATCTGGTTGCAATTTGACTCTAAAAACTGTATTTTGCTACATTTCTGCTTAAACACTATGTATGTGTTAAAACTGACATTTATCTTACATGTGAAGAACAAATTGGGCCCCCACTTATAGCCTGTCTAATGTTGTGCTAAGAAATTTACTCATAGACTCATCAATTATTTCAGGTAATCTGAGCTGTTTACCAGTAGAAGGTTTTTGTTCTCACCTTTTAAAAACATAATTTACTAATCATAATATTCAGCTTAAAATACCTAAGCTATTCTAACTCAGTAAGAGTTTGGGCATATAAATGACAGTGCAAAATGATTTATATTTACAAAGGAAGTATTTCAATTATCCCATCAGATTCACAATAGGACTCATTGAACTCCAAGTAACCAAACCCAAACATGTGGTTCTGTCCTTTTTGACCACTTGCCCTCTCCAAGAGAAGCAAATAGTAAAATAAATGACTTGTAAAGCCATTCACTTGTAATGTGAACCTAAGTTTAAACCTAAGTTTAAATTCTCCCTCACTTAGCTTACAGATAGGCCTTGAATATCAGTTGCCTATCTCAGTCATTAGTTGTAGCTAGAAAGTAAGAGAGACAGAACTATCTTGTCTCTCTAGGAAACTAGATAATTATTTATAGATTTGCTTAAAACTATCTCAACACTGAAGATCATTAACTCTTCCCTGGAAAGAAAACAAAACATTTAAATTTTAGATGGACCTAAACAGATTTTTTGTTCATATTTCTTATTTTTCAAAAGCACAATGTCTTTCCATGACCATTACCCACATATCTTCAGTATGTATTCACTGGTGATCTTGATTTTCATGTGAAACAGAAAATACTAAATGTAGCTCAAGTAACCAGCCACAAGGCTAACTGAAAATACTGCATTTCATTATACTGCAGTTTGTGTTTCTAGTATCAGACTCCTAAAAAGAATAGCAGAATTTTATGATAAGTAAATAGCTGCTTCCTGAACATTTCCAGCCTCATTATACAAAATAGAAAAGGCATGGTCTGTTCAGAACTTTTTTTTCTGGGAAGCTTGAATGATACTTGTGGACTTGAGGTCAGGAAAGTTCTAGCACACTTCTCCAAAAGTTATAACAAGGGGGAACATGCTGACCAGCCATTCTCTGAAGGATCCAGAGAGTAATGGCTTTCACTGTGCTATTTTGTTTTGGTTTCCTCTAGTCTCGCACTCAAACAAGGAATTGCATGAGGCAAAGGGGAAATCCTTCATGACATTTTGCAATCAACCCTATGTAACAGAATCCTTGAGACCGAAAGGTGCCTCTGCATGGATTGTCAATAGGGGAGATGATGAAACTACCAGACAATTTGGGTCAGCCCAGAATGAGACAGGAAAAGATTCCCTCCAGCACTCACAGACTTTGCATGCCTGTTGGTCAGCCTAGCATGAAGGTGCTGAGAAATTTGACTTTTTTTATCAGAACCTCAAACAAGTAAAGTTTCAAAAGGTTTGAGGAGGAGTTCAGATCTTCAGACACAATAATATATTTACTTCTGGCTTTTCTGATGTGCCTTCCAGAGAAGCATTAGAAAGAGGACAAATAATTCTATTCTACTGTTGTAGAAGGTACTGGCATGTGATATATGAAACAAAATAGAAAAGAAATTCTGTCCTTAGTGGAGATAACCTGTTTTGGGTAGGCTATTAAACTAACTCAGTTTCAAACCCAATTTAAATTAAAAGCAATCACAGCACACAGTATATAAAGTACTTATTAAACTGCATACAAGATCTGAGTAAAAAAAAAAAAAAAAAAAGAGATTTT